TCCAGGGCAAACGGACTGGTTTCGGGCCGGGGTGCGGGGGATACGTCTGGAGAGCAGCCCGGGATGCTGTTTGGATCCCGGCCCCGGCCTCGGCTCCGGCTCCGGGCGCTTGCTAACGTTTCTGGAAGGCGCATTGTACTGCGGCGGCAGGTGGTGGCTTGGGGGTTTATTTTCGTGCTTCCCTCCGCGGGCTGAGCCATTCAAATGATTCCTGGGTGAAAGGAGATCCCGCGTTCAAGTGGACGGCCAGGACGAAAAGATCGCTTATGTCTCTTTAAACGCTAGAAAACTCTGTAGGCTGCGCGGCCGAGTGACTGAAATGGCAGAGAGGCGTTATGAAAATGTATAGCCAGGCTCTTCGCTGCGAAACGGAGTTATGATAGCGTCCAGACTGCAGAACCCAGGTGGCAGTTGAAATATGGCTAAAACCAAGGCTGGTGACTTGGTCAAGTTCAATTGCCTGCAGTGTGTCTCGTAATTCAGCAGAGTCGGAGTTGACAGGAGTTATTGAAGTGAGAACAACCTTAAAATAGCAGAATATCGGAGGGAAAAAGCGTGTACCGTGGCAGAACCAGCACAGCCAAGTGATGTGCCCAGGAGAGAATTAAGCATTGGCTCGATAGCCTAGTTGGAAGGACTGTAGGTATGAAACTCAGTGGAGCATTCCTACCTTCAGAGCCCAGTTTATGTGGGAGAGGGTGGTCTACCACAAAGCGGGTCACATACTGTGGTATCATTATGGACGATGTTAGGAAAACCATAGGGAACAAATGATTTTTGATGGAGGGAGGGGGTTGCACAGACAAGGCTTGGACAAAGGGGTGACGGTGGAGTCAGGCTCAAGTGCTTAAATAGAAATTTGGAAGGGGATGGAAGGACCTTTCAGGCAGAGAGACCCTAACCCAAAAAAAGGCCCCTACAGCTGAAGAAAGTGCGTATGATGGCGCTTGAGAATTGACACAATTTGAGTAGGACTGGGATGTGGCTTTGACTTTGAAGAAAATTTAGGATCTAGGGGAGGACTTTCCCAAAACAGGATTATGTGGAAGTAATATAGAGCATTAAGTGGGTCATAATGAGACTGGCCTCAAAGGCATGGAGGGTGATTACTGTGGCAGAAGTTAGGGTCTGACCAGGAAAAGAAGGTAAGGCTGGCTGGAACGAAAGACTAACCTCATAGGCCCTCATTCACTGCCACTGAATTGATTCTCACTCTGACCCTGAGTAGGACAGAC